CCCCCCCCCCCCCCCCACGAGTGCAAGGAAGTAAGCACAAGATGCCGAACACCCTTAGCAGGATGCAGCACACCCTTCATGCGACTCGCCGAATACCTCGCGGTGCTTCGCGCTTGGTGATGTGAGAGCCTGGTCCGGTGAGAACCCGGCGTGCTCCGTCCCGGCTTTGTAGGGATGCGAGGTCAATGGTCTAACGACTACGGCATGCACGACTATGAGTACACCCCCCCCCCCGCATGACCACCCTAGCAGTTACAGTGCTTACAACTGCCTCTGGAAGTGAAAGCGCCAGAAGACAAATGAAGTCATACGCAGCTGTCATCCGTACGCAAGGAAGTACGCACAAGGTGCCGAACATCCTTAGCAGGATGCAGCGCAGCGCACCCTTAATGCGACTCGCCGAATACCTCACGGCGCTTCGCGCTTGGTGATGTGAGAGCCTGGTCCGGTGAGAACCCGGCGTGCTCCGTCCCGGCTTTGTAGGGATGCGAGGTCAATGGTCATGCACGACTATGAGTACACCCCCCCCCCGCGCGCTCTCATGCATACGGGCGACATCGCGGGAGCCACCGCCGCCACCGCCGCCGTCGCCCGACAGCGATCGATCAGGTGTATCAGGTGTCTGAAACAAGCCGCCATGGTGTCGACTGTAACTGGCTTTCATCGCATATCAGCCCCAGGACCTGCCGTTGGTCCGTCGAGAACCTGGTACAGTCGACGGTCCTCAATAGCGGTGCCCTCAATGGCGAGATGCCCTCTATAACGGCAACAAAAATCGCTTGGAACGAATGCATCCCTCAATAGCGGTACTTGTGCCGCTGTTGAGGAACGAATATATCGATTTGCATTGTGCCGCTACAGAGGACTATATAATGCAAGACGAAGGCAAGGGGAGCATCAAAGGTCATAAGGATTCAGGGGTGGGGGGCTCACGGCTGCACTCAATGCGCTCGGCATGGGCGTGAAGGAGGTAGCGGTGGGGGGAGGTGGTGAACAAGACTCAGAGATGTGCGAGGTACTCTCCTACCTCAGCATCGTCCCGGGTAAGCCCGCCACCCCGGCAGCCATCGAGGAGGTCGAGTTTTGGGTGGAGCTAGAGGATGGTCGAGGCTCTCGCCGCGGACGCGGACGCGGCGCTCAATGAGAAGATAAATGACAACTTTACAGAGGACTCCGATTCCGACGACGAGGAGCTGAACCACACGGGGGAGGTTAAGAGAGCAGGGGGTAGGAAGTCGATGGCCGCCGCCGCACTCGGATCTGTCGGATTTTTTCGGTCCACTAGAGCAGTACGCGCGGTCGGCTGGAAATGACGAGGCTGGGCATCTTCTTCGCAAGGCCGAGATGTCGTTCCTCGCAGCCCACGCCGCTCAACCAGTCCAGCAGTCAGACATGAGGATATTTCTTGAATCATCGGCGCGCCGGTCAAGCACACCAGCAATAGGAGTGTCTGATATTTTTGTTTTGCTCCAGTTTAACATTTTTGTGTACGCCGTGCGGCTCTGTCTTCTGTACGGTTCGTTGCTCTGCCACGGTTCGACTAGCGTGGGCATAGTGTTGTAGAGTACAGACTTACAGTACAAGCTGGGCCAGCCAAGAAACTAACATTCAGTCGTGCAGCCATATCTCTTGAAGGAATCAGAATTGGAACGAGCTCGACATATCTGCTCAATCAGCCAATAACAGCGGATGTGCAGCTGTCTCTCAAAAGCCCCGCTGACACGTTTTCTCAAACGAAGAAAACCCTCCGCATTTCGTGTAGGTTTTAGAGTTGCGAAAAACAAAGTTGAAACGTTTTTTTTTTGCGGCGGAAGTATTGTACAGGACAGGACAGCAGTGCTGCACGATGGTGACGATTTCTGATTGAGCCAACTCCATACTGCACAGTTTACTATTACAAGAGTACTGGCCTGGTGTCAGCCCTAGCTCAAAGTACCTATGCACGTGCTGTCCAACGAGTGTACTTATTGGACGCAATGGCGTAGGTAACACGTGACACCAACGAGCGTGGTGTGTGTAAAAAAAGACGGCTTCGTTGCCGCTGTCATCCTCAAAAGGGTGTATTTACCGCTGTTGAGGAATAGGTTCGGCGTTGTTGCCGCTCTCATCCTCAATAGCGGTAATAATACCGCTAATGAGGAATAGCGGTATCGCACCGCTATTGAGGAATAGGGGCAGTGCCCTCAATAGCGGTATCAAGGCCTCTTGTCACTACCTACCGCTATTGAGGACCGTCGACTGTAATTTGCACATGCGCGCACAACGCACCTCCGAGAACTAGGTACTTGTTCTTTTCGCGCGCACTTCGAAGTACCATATGGCATGAAACAAGCCAAGGTGAAGTTCCACTGGTCATCCCCCCAAGAGTTACTGTTTTCTTTCCTTTGGTTGATGTGCCTCCTTGTATATATACACACGTACATTCCCGCCCACCTCGAGCCTCTCCCCTGTTTTTTTTTGTTTGTCACCGCACCAGGAATTGCAGGAGCGTGGGGACAAGAGGCCGCTCAGCCTTCTTGGGGCGGCAAGAACAACAGCTACCAGCAACAGGCCTTCAACACCTTCCGCCGTGCCCCGAGCCCCTTCGGGTCACACGGGCCGGACGGCCGGTACCGGCAGCCTCGCGCACCCACCACCACCACCGCTGCACCTGCTGCTGCTGCTGCTGCCGTAGATAGGGAGGAGAACGGCGCCGACGTTCCGCTTCCTGGGCGTCGCGGCGCCGGTGATGGCGGCAGCAATGACGTGGGGCTTGCTTCTCGAAGCGACGGGAGCGCCGAGGCTAGCGCTTCTTGTAGCCCCGGCGACCGCGCAGGCGGCGACGAGGGCGGTGGCGTGAGTAACGTCGGCGGCGGCGACAGCAGCGGTAGTACACGCTCGGCTGAGGCCTCGGCCGCAGCGGAGGCAGCAGCGGCGGCCGTGCCGGTGCCGGTGCCGGCGAAAGGTGCCCCGGCCCCCGCTGCCGACGCCGCCGCCGTGAAACCCAGCCACGAGAACGACGAGCGGGGGCTCCGCGGCAAGGACGAGTCGGCCACCGAGGCGTGCTCGGAGCGATCGGCGTCGAGTACGTCCTACTCGATCGCCTGGACAGCCGCCGCCAGCCGCGTCGAGGGCGGGGACGATCGCGGAGCGGGGCCGAGGGAGGCTGCGGCCGTTGAGATGTCTCAGCAGCGGGGGTGCGTCGAGGAACGGGGTTGGGGGAGCGGCAGGGACGACGCGGGTGGCGATGAGCTTGGGGAGGAAGGGGGAGATCCGGATCAGGGGTGGGCCATGTCGGCGGAGTGGGAAGAGTACCTGAGGAACTCTCCGGGCGTCTCCAGATACCGTGAGTTTCTTATGGTTATTCTTTTTTGGTGCGCATTGGTAGATGCGATCCGAAATGACATGTACAAATATGATTGTGCCTTCGAATACTGTTCATCGGGGGTGTTACATTAGTGGGGTGTGTGGCGTCGTATGTCGTACTCCCCATGCGTGTTCGGGTTTGTTTTTGGGGGGGGGGGCTGCCCCGTAATTACTTGGCATTTTTTTTTGGTGTCCCGGAGGGGGGGGGGGTTATGTGATTTATGTGTATTATTGTAATTACTTGGCATTTGTTTTTGGTGTGCCGGTGGGGGGGGGGGGTTATGTGGTGTCGTGTGCGGTATGGATTGCAAGAGGAACCTGTCTCCCAACACTGGCGGGCTGCTCGCGAGGTACACAAACCAGCGGCGTCGCGTACATATCATCCGCGGCAGTCAAGCGACCCTCTCGTTGAATGACAGCGATCAATCAACGAAGTTCGGATGTCTTTTTTTTTTTTTCCTACACGCGTTGTTTCGAGAAGGTCATTCTTGTTTTCGATACGTCAACGTGTTTCGGTCTCTCTCTCTAGCTCTCATTCTCTCTCCTTCTTCTCGTTATTCCCCGCTCTCTCCCGCTCCTTCCCTATACCCCTCCCCCTCGTTGTCGTCCGCTTCTCCTTGTGTTGTGGCGAATCGCTTGGAACGCTGGAATTCTGATAACCTGGGTGCAGTCGAAGGGGTGCCGGCGAAGGCATACACCTGTGAGTCTTGCTATTTGATTCTGTTCATCTGGTTGCTGTTGTTGTTGTTGTTGTTGTTGTTGATGTTGGTGGTTACTGTTGTTCTCTGTGTCGTTGTGAAAATGGCAATGGTGATTATCATTCCTCTATGTGGTGGCAGCGTCTGCTGGTGCTCGTCCCCCTCGGTCTTTTACTCCTGCATGCTTTGCACTCCATGGCGCCTCTCCGAACCAGATGCAACTCCCGTCTCTCCGTAAGAATACCGCCGCCACCCGGTGTACCTACCGTGCGGTAGAAGCTAAGATAACCTGCAAAGGGGACTGAAGGGCACCTGTTGGACCATAAACAACGACGAAAGTCGTCGGCATTCCACAGACGCCAGTCCACCGGTTTTTCCTTTTTTTAGGACGGGGATGTACGACTGCTTCTCCTCTGCGTTCGCCTCCGTTCCTCGCTTGTCCTGTTTCTACTCCCTATGCTCACTCTGTCAAAATCTCAACCTTCCTCTTGGCCTTCCCATCTCCCCATCTGATTGGTCGGTTCCTTTGCCCCAACACCGCCGTACAACCACAATCGAATTCACCTCTCCTTGCCGCCGTCCGCTCCGTCAACATCTTCGTGTGTGGGGGTACCACACACGATTCTGCGGCATCCCCAGGGAAAGACGGCAGGGGAGGTGGAGGGAAGGGCAACGGCAGCAAGAGAGGCAGGAAGAAACGAGGCACGGGCAGCAGCACCAGCGACAACGGCAGCAGCAGCGGCATCGTTGCAGCTGACCTCGATCCCACGATGACAACGGACAACAGAGGGCACACCAACACCAAGCAGCAGCAGCAGCAGCAACTGAAGGGGGGCAAAGCTCCACCCCGCGGTGGGAAAAGTAGCGGCAAGAAAAGGAGCCCAAAGGAAAGGGGAAAGAGCAACAACAACGACGACGACGAAGCTGCCTCGAGGGCGCTGGATCTAGAGCTCGCCAAGATCGAGGCTCACGCGCTCTTGTACGCGCAGCAGCAGCAGCACCGGCCACTCGAGGACGCGATGCGCGCCCCGCCAACCATTTGATTCCAGTCGTCAATCGTCGTCGTCGTCGTCATCTACCTTTGCACCCCCCCCCGCCCCCCCGCCCTCCCTCCCCCACAAAGCCTCGCCGGGGCCCTGACACAACAGTTTTTGTGCGCGTGTGTGTGCGCAACGCGGAACGCAGCCTTTTTATGTAAGTGGCTGTTTGCCGTCCCTC